CATATAACCCGCGGGTTATATGGGTGAAAATACGGTATATGGACCATGTTTGAGGAAGATAATAGATATGTACAAGATGCTGGTTGGTTAGTCTGCAATCTTGCAAAGCCAAACTTTATAGTGTAGTTTTGCACCTTGATTTTCAGGATCATGAAAACCAAAGAATATGCTTAATAGTAAGATAACCTCCAATTCCTTTTAGGTTAGGATTTTAAGCCAGAAGATTAATTTTAGCGATGTACACGCCAGATGTGGTTCAAGAGATAACATCAATCATTCAGCAGGGGGAGGAAATGTAAGTAGAGGTAGTATCTTACATTGTTCTCCAGGTGTCTCTGAGGAACCACACTATATGTACTAGCCCTTTAATCCTCTACCAAGATTGCTTCTCTTCTTACTAATGCTTCACACATTAACTTGGTCTAATAATGCATCAGCTTTGTGTGCTGAGTGGTATATCCCTTCTTCCCCCCAAAGTTTCAGTCCAAAGGATAAGAGCCAGGTTTTCTTCACAAAGCATCCTGTTCTACAAGCACTGATGTAATGACTTAATTGCTTTGATTCTTCTGAATTCCATCGTTAATCAAAGCTTGAAAACAAAATGAAAAAGTATTACAAGTCCTGAGTTGAGAAGAAATAATGTCAACAGAAAATTACCATTGCTTGATTAAAATGTGAGGTATATTGTCACTGATTCAAAGGTAAGAGAAATGGATTGGTCCTAATCTTGCCAGATGGCATTCATAGCCACTGAACAATGGATGTTAACTACTTATAAGATGCTTTCACTTCACAGTGGGAGATACATGAATCGAGGGCTATCTTAGGAGTCACTTGCTCAGTTGAATGGTTTGACCCTTTCAGCAAACTTACTCCAAGCAATCTAGTGAACTCCACTTAAATATTTTGAGATATTCCACATGTCAAAATTATAAGACAATATTTCCATTAATGTTTCTCAGGAGCTAAGGAAGTTTATGAAATAGTCTAGGACAGTGTTTCTCAACCTTGGNCGCTTTTGTGGACCGCGGTTTTGACGGGTCACGCAGTGCTCTCCTGAAATGCTCCATCTTCAGCTATTTCTGGAAGACAGTTAAAGTACCTAACTGGACTTTGGGTAGAAAGCCATTCTGGGAACGGGGAGTGTGTGGGGGGGAAGGCTGCTCTAAGCTCCCATCTACCCTCCCCAAAATGGACTGTCAGCTGCTTCTCTTGGCATGATCCAAATGGCTGTGCCAATGGGAAAGAAGAGATCCTTCAGATTACCTGGCACCAAACTGTAATGGCCTTTATATGTTAAAGCTGGCACTTAATATTGAATTCAGAAGTTAACAGGAATATGGGAGACCGCCAAAATCGCAGACTTGTAACCAAAACAAAAAGGTGTTTGAACAGTCTATGCAGAATAATCATTTCCCAACAAGTTACTGGGATCACGTCAAAACTGGAGATGTTGATATACCAGCCTGTTTACCTTCTGGGAACATTTTGGCCCCATACTATTTAACTTACATGGTTTCTCAGTTTTCTCACTCATTCCAAGAAGAATGGAGCCGGTGTCTTCCCCCAAAGTGATAAGCCTAGAGTTAAAGGGACTTCCACCAAATCAAATAGGTCACTATGTAGAGGTGGCTGAAGCAAGTTAAGAAACCAGAGCTTCAGAGTTTTCAGGGACACGAACGGAAGTCCTGTTTGAAACTGCTTTTAAAAGCAGCGCACTTTTTCCTGGGACCACAAAGGCAACTTTTTTGTGTTAAAATCTGTTGCAGTGCGTAGCCCAACATCACCATTATTTCATCATTGGCAGAGAATCTTTTTAGAAGCCTGTAATTATTGAAGACCAATTAAAAAAAAACTGCATAATTTTATTTCCAGAGTACATTAAACTTATCTATTAGTGCAGCACTTCATTTACACAAACTCATTAATCTCTTGTATTTTAATTATAAAATTTAGACTATGATCAAAGTATAAAAGTAACTATATAGTTTACATGTGAATTCTGCTTCCTTAATTTCAGGAAAAAATATGTTTCTCCTGAAAGTTACATTCGTTTCATTGCTAGCACCGTATATAAAACAACTTGATAGGAAGAATATCTTTCCTAGCAGTAAAATACTAAAATATCCAAAGAAAAATTATATGGCTATACTGCAGTTGTTTTAAAAGGAAGGACAGATGTTTGTCATGAGTGTTTCACACTTTTTTTTTCCTGGGTGTTTTCCAAACATTGTTTAAATGTAACTATTTGTAGCAGTGGTGGGTTCCTAACCAGTTTAATACTGTTTATTTCCTTGTTTGTTTATTAGATTTATATGCCGCCTTTTCCCAAAGAACTCAAGGCAGCGTACAACATTAAAAAAAACACCACATATTACAAAAGTTAAAAAGGAAATTAAATAAAGTATCCAAAAACAAACCCAATTAATATTAACAGTGCAATTTTAAAGATTAGATTAAAATTAACAATTAAATCAATCATTTATTCTGTTCAGGCCAGGCTGGCTTGCTGGAAAAGCCAACATTTTAGGGCGCGTCGGAAGGACTGGTTTGCTTCTGCTTGTGCATGCACTCACACATGCGTGCAACACTTCTGTGCACGCGTGCAGAAGCATCTGGGTAGGCAGAGCCTCCCGCCGCCACCACTACTGGTTCGGCTGAACTGGGCCACACTGGGAGCAACCCACCTCTGATTTGTAGGCATAAGCATATTCATATTATGTACGTCACACTTAAAAGGATGACAGAAATCAGCAAAATTGTGACAAAACATCTATTGATTATTAATTAAAATAGGGCAAGGTATGACTTGGTGGCTTAAGATATTCCAGAAAATATTTTAAATAAAAACCTCTACTATTATTCTTGCAAGTATCTCCATATAACTTTTCAGTGTCCTTTTCAAAGTTAGTGCAGAGGCCAAATAGCCCTTTTCATCAATCCCACCAGGATGTGATCCCAAATCATTCCGAACAAAGATATTTCGCTGGCGTCCTGGCCATCTGGGAACTAACTGGCCAATTCACTGTTCCTGCTTTTGGTTCACAGGGAACAGCTAGTCCAATCAGAATCACGTCAACCTAGTGTGGTTGCAAGGAGGTATAGTCCAAAAATGAAGTCCCAGGAGCTGTAGATGCAATGCTGCTTCAGTTTTATGATGGCTGAAATTAAATGGGACAGTGAAGGTCACATAGTCTTCACCACACCATTGGTATAATACAGTGGTGGGTTTCAAAAATTGTTCGAACCTACTCTGTGGGTGTGGCCTCCTTTGTGGGAGTGGCTTGCTGCCCATGTGACCGGATGGGAGT